CCCCTAACACCACAGCTCCCTGTTGCCTTTACACCACTTATTAGATCTAAAATCATTCTACTATTCACTTCACTTCCCCGTCTCCCCCAACTGAGTATGTTCCTCTGTATCACTAGTGTCTAAAAGACACTAAACACGAGGACAGATGAATAAGGGAGTGAGCAGATGGGAGGATGGATTGGGGAGGGGGAGGGGGGAGGATGAGTGAGGGGAAGGGAAGATGGGGGGTGCGTAGGTGAGAGGATGGTGGGCAGACAGATGGAGTGAGTGGACACATCAGTAGGTGGAGGGGAGAATGGAGAGATGGGTCAAAAGATGGGTGGATGGGCAAATGGATGGAAGGGTGAGTGGGTGAACAGGACAAAAGGAGAGCTAGGTAGATGGAGGGAGGATTGGTGGGTAGAAGGAAAGGTTAGTGATAGACAAGTGGAGAATGGATGGGATGGTTTGAGAAAGGGTAGGAAGGCTGGTGAGTGGTTGCTGATCGCCCGGGTAGGGTATGTGTTGGGATTTGCGGAATAGAAGAGGTGTGGTCTGTTGCCATGAGGGAGGTAGAGGGAATAGGTTGAGTTTGGAGGAGTTCAGGAAACAGGAGGGGGCTTCTTAGGCAGAGGTAGAACTGGAACAGCGCTGCAGACCCAGCTGTGCCGAGACAACCCTGGGCTCGGGGCGCAGCGGCGAGCAGGGAGGAGGAGCGGGGAGCGCGGAGCAGCCCAGAGCTGAGCTGCAGCACCGTTCACTCAACTCCTCCTCGTCCTCGCAGGGCCTCTGCTCGAGCCCTTCCGTCTCCAGGAGGGGAAGGTGGGCCTCGTTGAGAACAAGTTCTGCAATATGTTATATGAACAAAGAGTTGGCCAAGGCAGGAACTACTCTGTGCATGAGGAGATGCTGTGTGCTGGGGACTTCTCGACAGGAAAGGCCATCTGCTGCGTGAGTGAGGCCATTTCTGTTCCTCCCTTGCGTGTTCTCAGGGCCTCAGTTTCCCTGGGGATGGGGGGGGTGTTGCCTCTGCTCTCCTTGTGGAGACCCCCAGGACGTCCTGCTTCCTCCCTCTCCGTGTCTTCCCGGGGCTCCAGCCCTTGGCAGCGTTCCCCCGGCTGCCCCTTCCTGAGCCCATTGTCCCTGAGGGCGTTACTGGCAGGACCTCAGACAGCGTCTGTTTTTGAGGCCTATTTTACAGTTTTGATTGAGGTGTAACATACTTACAAAAAAGTATATTCATAGTGTTGTCATAGGTGAGTGGTGGGCGAATCTTCACATAGTGACGCAACATGTGACCAACACCCCGGGGCCCCACTCGTGTCCCTTTCCAGTCACCAGCACTCAGGGGAAACCGCCACCTTCACTTGCAACACCTCAGATTAGATCATGGGTTTTCTGTAAGTAGCATTTATTTCCAGTTGTCAGTCTTTCATGGTCACATTCTGTGTGTGAG